CTGCAATGGCCTGGGAAAGCAGTAGAAGATGGCCCAAGTGTTTGGGCCCCTGCACCCACGTGGGAGACCAGGAAGAAACACCTGACTCTGGATTCAGATCAGTGTGCTCTGGCCATTGCAGCCATTTGGGGAGAGAACCAGCAGAGAGAAGACCTCTCTCTCTGTCTTCCTCTCATTGTCTGTAACTCTACCTTTCAAAAATAAATACATAATAATAAATAAATAAATAAAAATGTTAAAAAAGGAATAATGAATAAAATTAATTCTAATAACTATAAATAAAAATTTGTGAGTTGATAGCAATGATTAAACAAAAGATAGAGGCAGAGAAAGAATATTTGTCCCTGCTAATAGTAATCCTTATAGTAGGTCCTTTCTAAGAATGTTCGCAAAGTATTAAGGTTTACCCAGCTTCACAAGAATAATTATAATTTATCTGTATTTGAAGTCTGATTTTTTTTTACTATAAATGTTCAGGTTTGATTAGTAAAAATAACCATTACAAATGAAAATATCTATTTACAAATTCCAGTGGAATAACTAATTGACAAAAATTATTAATAGCTACAAAACAACATGAAAATTACTATGGAATGTAGCTTCTTTTCCTGAAAATTATCACTCAACAAATTACTAGTAATTGATATTGGGTAGAAGATGTGTTTACAGAAAACATATCAGGCTATCACTAGCCTAGCCAAGTAGTAATAACCAATATCACTAACAATGGGACAATATTACTCATTTCCAATTAGAATACATTTGAGAGGCAGCATACTAAAGACATTTTCTTGTTGGCAAAGTTTAACTTTAAAATAATAAAGCCTTAACATCCCAACTTCCAATTGATAGATAGTTGGAATAGAGAAACACATTATCTACCATTGGAATATAGCAATCTGAGAAGTACACAATATTTGACAGACTCTGTGTACAATGGGGAAGAAAAGATTGTTAATAATTCTAGGTTAAAAGAGTTGTACAGATATAAAAATAAAAAAACTATGGGTGATCCATAATTGTACTCTGATTAGGAAATTTGTGTACTCAAGACATTTTTAGAAAACAACAGGAAATATGAGAACTATAGGGAGTATGAATAAGAACTAGATATATATTGACCTGAGCAAACAACTGTGCTCATCCTTAGATTGAATATGGGATTATATATTCATTCAAAAGAGATGCTTTCTAAGATCAATAGTGACAAATAGTCTTGCCTTCAACTTTCCTTGAAAAGGGTCAGCACAATATCACACAAGTTTACACATATATATGCATACATTAACCTACATTTGTTAACACAGCAAAATGTCAACAATTTTGGAGAAGTGGAAAATCGGGTTTTCACTATGATTCTTCCAAATGTTCTAAATGTTTCAAAATTGTCACAATAAATGTGCTAAAATCAATAGTAAAACTATATTCATTTCAGGATGTATGTTTAAAAATCATGGTACTGGGCCAGCACGTGACTCACTAGGCTAATCCTCTGCCTGCAGCGCCGGCACCCAGAGTTCTAGTCCGGTCGGGGCGCGGATTCTGTCCTGGTTGCTCCTCTTCCAGTCCAGCTCTCTGCTATGGCCAGGGAGTGCAGTGAGGATGGCCCAGGTCGTTGGGACCTGCAACCGCATGGGAGACCAGGAGAAGCACCTGGCCCTGGCTTCGGATCGGAAGAGCTCACCAGCCGGCCACAATGCACAGCCATAGCAGCCACTTGGGGGGTGAACCAACAGAAAAAGGAAGGCCTTTCTCTCTGTCTCTCTCTATCTCACTCTCTAACTCTGCCTGTCAAAAAAAGAAAAAGAAAGAAAAAAATCATGGTACTGAATAATTTTATAACAAATTCTTGAATTTTGTAAGCTATATTCTCAAAATGAGGATTCTTACTCTATGATTCCAACTTGTTTGAAGGTAAGTTACAGTACGGAACCAGCCACAGAATAGGTGTGTTTAAACAGTTGATTTGATGGCAAAAAACGTAGAGAAGGTGCAGACTTGTGTGCTATCAGACACGGAGTTATCTCAAGTTTTCCTAAGATTTTCTGAGTTAGATTTCATTTACTATTACTACCTCTATCAGTAAATAGCTTCCTACCTCCGAACGGTATGACTCTCAGCATCTGCAGTTAAATTTTCCTCTATCTTTCCTCTGATCAAGATATGTGAAAAGGGGCCAGTGCTGTGGCACAGCGGGTTAACACCTTGGCCTGAAGTGCCGGCATCCCATGTGGACGCCTGTCCGAGACCTGGCTTCTCCACTTCCAATCTTGCTCTCTGCTATGGCCTGGGAAAGCAGTAGAAGATGGTCCAAGTCCTTGGGCCCCTGCACCCACGCGGGAGACCCAGAAGAAACTCCTGGCTCCTGGCTTCGGATCAGCACGGCTCCAGCTGTTGCAGTCAATAGGAGAGTGAACCATCTGATGGAGGACCTCTCTCTTTCTCTCTCTCCCCTCCTCTCTCTGTGTAACTCTGATTTCAAATAACTAAATAAATCTTTTTAAATAAAATACATGTGGAAATAGATACTAAGATGAAAGACACATCCATCTGGGCACCACACATACCCTGTGTTTCTCCTGTTTTCTCTTTATGGTTATGTACCATCTAGTCTTTCCTATACACAGTTCCCTTCATATGACCTTCATCCATTTAGATTTTGATCATTCATCATACCTCAGGGGTATTTCTAACTTTTCCTGAAGTTTTATAAATGACTACAGTTTTGTTGATCATACTTACCTCTCCAGATTTTTAAACAAAATTCAGCACTAAGGTCTCTCTCCATTTCCCTAACATTTTACCAACACAGATAGAATAAGAACCCTTCATTCCATCCTGCATAGAGGTTCTGTTCTCAGAATCAGCAGTCCCTCAAAGATAAGACAAATAGAAGAAGAGGACAAATGGACATGACTGTAGTACAGAAAGGTTGGAATGAAAAGCAGTAGGAGAGGCCGGCGCTTTGGCACAGAGGGTGAAAGCCCTGGCCTGAAGCGCCAGCATCCCATATGGGCACCGGTTCTAGTCCTGGCTGCTCCTCTTTCGATCCAGCTTTCTGCTGTGGCCTGGGATAGCAGTAGAAGATGGCCCAAGTCCTTGGGCCCCTGCACCCACGTGGGAAACCTGGAAGAAGCTCCTGGCTCCTGGCTTCAGATTGCCGCAGCACTGACCATTGCAGCCATCTGGGGAGTGAACCAGTGGATGGAAGATCTCTCTGTCTCTACTCTCTGTAACTCTGACTTTCAAATAAATAAAATAAATCTTTAAAAAAAGAAAAGAAAATCAATAGGAAAGGAGACTGAAAATGCTCACCTGGTTGCAGACAGGTTGTACTTGAGCCCTGGCTTGTTCAGAATCATCTCCAACTGCCTGCGGTTGAAATTGGACCCCGATGGACTTGGCCAGTCCTGCATCCTTGCACTTCTCCATAGCCTGGGGAGAAGCCAGGTAAGAATAATTTGTGTAGATGGCTATAGATCAGCAAAAATTTAAAATAGACTGTTAAAAGGAGCATTGTCAGGAATGACAATGAAGTTCAGTGGCAATGATTGTCCTGAAAAAAAACCTAGTTATATTATAAAGATGATAATGATGGAAAAAGATGTCCTGGATCTGTTTATGAAAAAAAGCATAATTATTCCTAATGGAGGCACACAGCTTCCCCTATTGCTTCTGATTTTCCTTTTTCTCTATGATACACAGCAGAAATGCATTCCTCTCCACTGCCACAACAAAATAGCCTTTGTCATAAATCCAGCAGAGCATTACCCACTCTTACAGGTGCACATGTTACACGATTCTGTTTCCCCAGGCTTTCTCTTCTGTGTTGTCTTCCCAAGCACTCACCTCCCAGGTGTCACAAATATCCACTGTGTCATATAACAGGTTTCCATGTTCATCACGTGGTATAGTCTCTCTCCTGGCTGGATTCAAAATAGTCACTTTAATGATGAGATTGAGTTCATGCATTCACAGTTAATCACACTACCAGGTACATCTAGGATCTAGATATTGAACTTTCCTGAGGCAGGTACTACAACATGCTAGCTACTGATATTTGTAAAATATTTTGCATATGGAGTTGTAATATGTCTTTTTGAAAATAAGACCTCTCTCTCTCTCTCTCACTCTCTGCCTCCCTTCTCTCTGTGTAACTGACTTTAAAATAAAAAAAAATAAATCTTAAAAAAAGAAAATAACCTTCCTTTAATTTGATGGCTTCAGATATTGCTTTGTCTGTCCCTAAATCATAGTTTCCTCCAGACAAATGAAACTTTTTCATTGTAAAAAGCAATAATTACACAGTCTTGATATCCAGCAGTAATCAATTGTAGTCATGACCCAGGCAAGCAAAGTTTCTTATCCCCCTCAGCATATAGGAGGTAGTACAAGAACATACAAGTGAACAACGTGAAGTCAATCAAAGCCCTTTTCAAGATAAATTTGGATGTTAGAAAGCCAGAAAAAGTCTCAAGAATTACAGAACATGAACGTCAAACTGCCTGTGGGGTAAATATTTTCCATACATGATAAAATATGTGAAAAAAATCAAATCAAACTTGTGATGCAGAAGTAATGAACAGATAAAAAGAAATATTTTTAAAGGCTATTTCAAATTCTTAAGGCTTTTCAAATTACACAATGCACTAAGCCCTTTAGTGTAAATTAACTTGAGGTTTTTCTTTAGCTTTATGTCAGACATCAGTTACTAACGACTAAGTGCCATCTACATAACTCTATCATGAGGATAATCAACAGGAGAAAACAAGGTTTCTTGAGTCCCTTAAGGCTGCTAGTTACAGACACACATAGACTGAGAACCATCAAATTGTCAGCTTAAAATGACGAGAGATGATGGAGCCCCTCTGTGCACCCTGTGTGCTGGTTTGTTGTTCACAGCTTCACACAGCTCTTTGTCTGTGAACATGCCTAAGAGACTACGGAGCCATAACCAGTATGTGTCAAGGCTATTATTTTCTCAAATTTTTGACACAAAGACTTCAAGGTTATTGCAAACTTTCTTGAAGTCGTAGAGTAGGGAATAAAGAATTCAAAATTGCTAAATAAATGGAATCAGGAATTACTCTTTAGGATTCTGCTCCTGGGCAGTAATCTCTCCATACTCCAAAAAACAAATTTTAATTCAACTGTCCATGTGAAGGAGGGTCATGCTGACATTATGAGGAACTATTTGGAGCATACAAATGCATACCTTCAAAGGTGTTGGGAAATGAATAAGATATAGGTCAAATCAGTCCAACTGTACTTCTTTCAGGCACCTTTCCAAGGTCGGTTGGACCATCTCTGGTAGATGGAAAGTACACCAAAGCTGAAGAGTTAAAGAATAGAATTGTGGAATAAATAGTCAGCCTTGTTGATTTGTATCACCTAGCAGAGAGACATTTTTCTAGTAATTGACCATGAGTAATACAAGTTATAAAAAACACTCCTCTTCAATGGCTCAAGTGCTTGGGCCCTGCACCCACATGGGAGACCAGGAGGAAGCACATGGCTCCTGGCTTTGGATCTCTGCAGCATGCCAACCGTAGTGGCCATTTGGGAGGTGAACCAAAGGAAGGAAGACCTTTCTCTCTCTCTCTCTCTCTCTCTCTCTCTCTCTCTCTCAATGTCTAACTCTGCCTGTGGAAAAAAAAACACTCCTCTTCTTGTGTTTCTTTTCAAATAACCTACCCACTTAACAAAAGTACCCCGTTATCCATGGGAGATATGTTCCAAAATCCCCACTGGACACTTAAAAACACACTGAATGCCTATGTACTACAGTTTTGAACCATACATACATGCTTTAGATAAAGTAAAATTTAAACTAGGCACAAATAAGAATCGAAAATAAAACAATTATAATTTTTTTAATTTATTTGACAGGCAGAGTTATAGACGGTAAGAGAGAGAGAGACAGAGAGAAAGGTCTTCCTTCCATTGGTTCACTCCCCAAATGGCCACTACGCTGCGCCGATCCGAAGCCAGGTGCCAGGTGCTTCCTCCTGGTCTCCCATTCTGGTGCAGGGGCCCAAGCACTTGGGCCATCCTCCACTACCCTCCCGGGCCACAGCAGAGAGCTGGACTGGAAGAGGAGCAACTGGGACTAGAACCGGGCGCCCATATGGGATGCTGGTGCCGCAGGCGGAGGATTAACAAGTGAGTCACGGTGCCGGCCCCATAATAATATATTCTAATAAAACTTATTTGGATGTGATATCTCTCTCTCAGTATCTTATTGTTCTACTGACTTTTCTTCTTCTTCTATACCAGGGATAATTGAAATCACCAAGAGCAAAACTATGTATAAGGATAACTACTGTAAACGTTTTTATATGATGGATATAAATTAGTATATCTACTGAAATGGTAAGGAATGACTTAAAACATAAAATTTTCTATCAATAGTAATAATGACTATTAACAGAGTTATATTTTAGTTTACAGAATAGTCCATAAGCTTAGTCTAATCCTCTCATCAATTCAAAAGGGAAGAATTAGTATGTCTTTGTCATACATAACTGAAAGAAATATTTAGAAGGTGTTAATATGTGCTTCACACTATTCAAGATGCATTAGCCATGTCTTATTAAATGCCTAAAGGACTTTCCTATATTAATTTCTCTTCTTCTAAATATTTGAAAGGCAGAGTGACAGGCAAGGACAATAAGATGTTCTCTTTCCCTAAATGACCACAATAGCTTGTTTGGGCCAGGCCAAAGCTAGGAGCCAGGAACTCCATCCTGGTCTCCTACATGGGTGACAGAAACACATTTACTTGATCCTTCATTTGTGCCTTTCCCAACAAATGATCAGGAAGCTGAATCAGCAGTGGAACAACCAAGACTTGAGCCAGCACTCTCATAAGTGATGCCAGTGTTGCAGGCGCAGCTTAACATACTGCACCATAAAACTGGTTCCTATTTTCTCTTATTGTCCAAATTGAAAATTGGAATTCACAATGTTAAGAAGTTTTAGAAAATCAGCTTGGAGGCTGGCACCTTGACACAGTGGGGTAAATCCCCAGCCTGCAGCACCAGCATCCCATATGGTTAGAGTCCTGGCTGCTCCACTTCTGACTCAGTTCTCTGATATGGCCTGGTAAAGCAGTAGAAGATGGCCCAAGTCCTTGGCCCCTGTGCCCACACAGGAGACCCAAAAGAAGCTCCTGACTACTGGCTTCGGATCAGCTCATCTCTGGCAGTTGAAGTCATTTGAGGAGTGAACCAGTGCATGAAAGACCTCTCTCTTTCTCTCTGGATCTACCTCTCTCTGTAAGTCTATCTTTCAAATAAAAAAATCTTTAAAAAAAATTAAATGGCTTAAAAAAAAGAAAAGAAAATCAGCTGAGAGATAAGGAAAGCCATAATCCAATCACAATTTTGACTGATTTTATGGTCCATAGTAGATCATACTATTATAATCTGAGATGCAGAAGAGTAAATAACTTTATATTAATCATAATTTATATGGCCCAATGATGATAAAACCATTAACATGTGTCAATAAAAGTTGTACTAGTAAGCACAATTCACCACACCTACTGATCAAATCATATAATTGTCATCTCCATACAGTCAAATTAAAAGTATGCACACAAACATACCATATACACAGTACCTTTGAAGTATAAAATATATCTTCCCTCTTCACAGTACCATCTGCAATCTTACTTTGGATGGCCAGTCCAATCTCCTTTTCATTCTGGTACAAATATGCAGAGTCAATATGACGAAAGCCAGCTTCTATTGCTAATTTAGTGGCTTCTCTAGCCATACTCTTAGGAACCTAAAGTAGTATATAAAGATTAACATAATTAAGAGGCAGTTCGTACAGAAATAATAACCTTCACAAAAATCAGCTTTTCCTCATGTCTTGGGAAAGATATGAATGTGTGTTGATAAGTCCATCCAAGTTTTCATGGGTCTTTTCTAGTTGCAAATAAAGGTTGGGCATCCTCGGAATCCCTTCAGTCCCAAGCAATTACTGGCTGACCCCTGGCATCAGAATTCCTTAAATATTCCATGTTCAGTGATTCGTTGAAAGGACTCACAGGACTAAGAAAACAGTTTCAATCTTGGCTATTATTTGTAAAGTGCAGTTACAAAGTAAAATTAATACAAGAGAAAGGAACATGCAAAGAACAGAGAACACTTCCAATGCAAAATGCAATGACTTCTCTCCCAGTAAAGCTATGTAGAACATATTAAATTCCCCTAACATTGAATACTTTTTAAAAGATTTATTTATTTATTTATTTATTTATTTGAAAGGCAGAGTAACAGAGAGAGAATGAGAGAGAGAGAGAGAGAGAGAGAGAGATCTACCATCCTCTGGTTCACTCTCCAAATGGCCACAGCAGCCAGGTCTGAGCCAGGCCAAAGCATAAACACTTGAGGTATCATCCACTGCATTCCAAATCACATCAGCTAGAAGCTGGATCACAAGAAGAGTAGCCAAGACTCAATTCAGCATTCTGATATGGGATGATAATGTGACAAGCAGTGGGTTAATCCACTGTACCACAATGCCAGCCCACAACATTGAATTTTGATGATAAATATGAAGTATTATCTATAAGAAAATCTGTTGCCGGCGCCAGGGCTCACTAGGCTAATCCTCCGCCTAGCGGCGCCGGCACACCAGGTTCTAATCCCGGTCGGGGCGCCGGATTCTGTCCCGGTTGCCCCTCTTCCAGGCCAGCTCTCTGCTGTGGCCAGGGAGTGCAGTGGAGGATGGCCCAAGTGCTTGGGCCCTGCACCCCATGGGAGACCAGGAAAAGCACCTGGCTCCTGGCTCCTGCCATCGGATCAGTGCGGTGCGCCAGCCGCAGCGCGCCGGCCGCGGCGGCCATTGGAGGGTGAACCAACGGCAAAAGGAAGACCTTTCTCTCTGTCTCTCTCTCTCTCACTGTCCACTCTGCCTGTCAAAAAAAAAAAAAATCTGTTTAGAGATTCAATTTCTAAACTTTTTATCTGAGATTGGTTTCATAACATCCTTTTCTATTATATTCAAAAATTCCAGTTCCAAAGGAAAGTAGGCAGACACAAACTCAACTGTTGATACAGCTAGTAAATATATAGTCATCATCATTAATCAGTTAGAAAGCAGTGAGAATTTCAAGTTCCCCAAATCCAACCAGGTGAAATTTTAAAATAAATACATCTATGAATAGTAGTCAATTAAGTTAACTCTTTTTTAGATAGTCATTCTCTCTAACAGAATAACAGAACTGAACACTAGGAGTAAAGAAATATACTCAAAGGATATAGTTTTACACACACAAAAAAGCTGTAAGAGATCCCATAAAGTTGATGTCAGTCCAGAAAATTGTGGTTCTTCTTTTGGGAAAGCCAAAATTAGAATAACATTTAAAAATTAGTGATTCATGCTATGGTTGGAAAGTGTTTTCCAAAAAGCATGTGGTAGAAATGTAATTACAGATGCACAAGAGTGACTAAGTGTTTAGGTCACAAGGGATCTGAATTCATAAATTAATTAGTGCCAATTATAGAGGGATTTAATGCTATGAGTTTCAGTTTTTGTGCCCAGGCCTAGTATTTACTGTATGGTGATCAAAACTACCCCACAGTACAATAGTTTCCTACAATTTTTCCCACACTAGATTGCCAGTAACTTTTATAATATTTTTCTGGATAAAATATACTAGGAAAGAGGAAATATTTCTTAGATTATATAAAGATTATATATAACTTATATATTATAAACAGCAAGATCAATCCATTTGCACTCAACCTCCAAGCAAGTGAACTTATGGTATTCTTTACTCCTGAGTTTCATCTCTTCTGCTAAATTAAGGCATAGACTGAAACCAAAGAATAAGCCAGTCTCCACAGTAGTTGTGGGTGTCCGTATGAATACTCCACAATGCAAAATGAAATCTGACTAAATTGCTTCTCACCTTGGACTCAACATGGGCTACCTCTGGCCTGGTGAAACTACCAACCAACTGAGACCCGAGAGTCACACAGGAGCATATGTGTGACAAGCTACTTCACCTTCCACATGCTCTCAGTCTATTTCCTTATAAACTCTCAAATCCAAGACACTATTTTTACCTCTTCGGGTGCATAGGTGCCAAATCCCAGAATGGGAATGAAATGACCATCATTTAGTTCCAGATAGTGATGTTTGAGATCCATAACTTGTTACTCTAATCAAACAAATGCTCGTTCTCTCTTCTGCCTTCACAGGTTACATGAAACACAAGCAGGAAACGTCCCAAGTACCTATCCAGAGGTGAAGCAATGACATGTAGGAGGAGCAAGTTTAAAGCAATATTCCACAAAATAGAACAGAATTAGAGTCAGTTTACATTTCTTTTTTTTTTTTTTTTGCTTTCAAACTTTTATTTAATGAATATAAATTTCCAAAGTACAGGTTATGGATTACAATGGTTTCCCCCCCATAACATCCCTCCCACCCGCAACCCTCCCCTTTCCCACTCCCTCTCCCCTTCCATTCACATCAAGATTCATTTTCAAATCTCTTTATATACAGAAGATCAGTTTAGCATACATTAAGTAAAGATTTCAACAGTTTGCTCCCACACAGAAATATAAAGTGAAAAATACTGTTTGAGTACTAGTTATAGCGTTAAATCTCAATGTACAGCACACTAAGGACAAAGATCCTACATGAGGAGTAAGTGCACAGTGACTCCTGCTGTTGACTTAACAAATTGACACTCTTGTTTATGGCCTCAGTAATCACCCTAGGCTCTTGTCATGAGCTGCCAAGGCTATGGAAGCCCCCTGAGTTCACCAACTCTGATCATATTTAGACAAGGCCATGGTCAAAGTGGAAGTTCTCTCCTCCCTTCAGAGAAAGGTACCTCCTTCTTTGATGACCCATTCTTACCACTGGGATCTCACTCGCAGAGATCTTTCATTTAGGTTTTTTTTTCCCCAGAGTGTCTTGGCTTTCCATGCCTGATATAGTCTCATGGGCTTTTCAGCCAGATCCGCATGCCTTAAGGGCTGATTCTGAGGCCAGAGTGCTGTTTAGGACATCTGCCATTCTATGGGTTGCTGTGTATCTCACTTCCCATGTTGGATCATTCTCTCCCTTTTTGATTCTATCAGCTAGTATTTGTAGACCCTATTTTTGTTTATGTGATCCCTTTGTCTCTTAGTCCTATCATTATGATCAATTGTGAACAGAAATTGATCACTGGGACTAGTGAGATGGCATTGGTACATGCCACCTTGATGGGATTGAACTGGAATCCCCTGGTATGTTTCTAACTCTACCATTTGAGGCAAGTCAGCTTGAGCATGTCCCGAATTGCACATCTCTTCCCTCTCTTATTCCCACTCTTATATTTAGCAGCAATCACTTTTCAGTTAAGTTTCAGCACTTAAGAATAACTGTGTATTGATTACAGTATTCAACCAAAAGTATAAAGTAGAACAAACAAACAAAAATACTAAGAGGGATAACATATCAAGTTGCTCATCAACAGTCAGGATGAGGGCTGATCAAGTCCCCGTTTCTCATAGTGTTCATTTCACTTTAACAGGTTTCGTTTTTGGTGCTGTTAGTTGTCACCTATCAAGGAGAACAAGTGGTATTTGTCCCTTTGGGATTGGCTTATTACACTCAGTATAATGTTTTCCAAATTCCTAACAGGGATCACTTTTCAGTTAGTTTTTTTTTTTTTTGGCCAGAGTGTCTTGGCTTTCCATGCCTGAAATACTCTCATGGGAAAAGCAGGGAATAACCACAGATTGGCCTAATAGAAGCTGTTTAGGGGATTCCTTTATACAGAAGCCAAAGAAAGATAACTAACTTCATGCAAGCATGGGGAAACATAAAATCCATCAGAATAGACATACAAAAAAAATAGAAAAGATTCAAACCTTACCAACACAAAAAATCAACAAAGCACAAATAGGAAACAAAAAGGAAGAAAAGGACAGAGATATGCAAAATGAATAGAAAAATTTTTTCAAAATAATAAAAAAGTCATTACTTATAAGATTTTGAAAGGCACATGACAGAGAGATTGGAGAAGGGAGAGAGAGGGAGAGAGAGAGAGACTGAGAAACAGAGACAGAGAGAGAGAAACAGAGACAGAGAGAGAGCACTAGCTGGGGTTGGGCCAGGCCAAAGCCAGGATCATTGAACTTCATCTGGATCGCCCATGTGAGTGGCAGGCATCCAACTACTTAGGCCGTCTTACAATGTTTTCCCATGTACATTAGCAGGGATCTCAGAAGCAGAGCAGCTGGGACTCAAGTCAGCCCTTTACTGTGGGCTGCTGTGCCACTATGCCAGCTCTGAGTTTTTCTGTTTTTTTTTTTTTTTTAAATGTAAACAAACCAATAAACCACTAACTAGATTAACAAAGAGAAAAAGACACAAAATTCAAATAAATAAAATTAGAGTCAAAAAGAAGCTTTTAACAACTGATGCCACATAAAATTAATTACTATTACAAACAAAAATTTACCAACAAATTGAAAAACACAATATAACCTATCAAAATGTAATCATGAAGACAGAAAGCCTGCAAAGAACAATGAGTAACGTGATTGAATAAGTATAAAAATAAATCTCTGATCATGAGAAGGAATTTGAACTAGTAGTTAAGATGTCAGGTAAGACTGACCTGTCTCAGAACACCTGGATTTGAGTCTTGACTCTGGCTCTTGGTTCTGGCTTCCTGCTAATGCAGACCCTGAAATGTGGAATGTGATAGCTTATGGCATTGGATCCATACCACTCATGTGAGAGATCTGGATTAAGGTTCTGGCTATTAGATTCAGCATGGAACAACACTGGTTATTGCAAGAATATCAAGAATGAAGCAGAAGATGGAAGCTCTCTGTCTGCCTGTCAGTTGGTTGGATTGCCTATTTTCAAACTGATCTGTAGCTGTCATCTAGGAATTTAGACTCCTCATCATTATCTAATAAGGTTTTGGGCTGTGAGTTTTTCCAGGAAACTACTGTACTTGAGGTGTTCCTGGGGAATTCAATTCCAGTGATAAGTGATGGCTTAGGACAGCAGAGGTTCTTGGCATCCCTCATTATTGTGATTAAGCAGGAAAGACAAAGCAAACTGGTATGAATTCATAATCCCAGATGCAGGAATATCTCAAGGCATAGGTAAAATTGATCCTTGTGAAGGTCACTAATTCTGACTGAAGTACCTCTCATCACATTGATATACAGTTACTAGTCTTGTTTTCTCCTCTAGATTTCTAAAAGTGAAGCAATGAAGCCACCAAATTAGCTGTAAAAGCTGGGTTCTGCCATATTGATTCTGCATATATCCACAAAAATGAAGAGGGGGAAGGACTAGCCATAGAAGCAAGATTGCAGATGGCACTGTGAAAAGACATATTCTATACTTCAAAAGTATTAGGTATATGGTGTGGAAGTGTACAAATTAATGAAATATGAAGCAGTGACAAATGTGAAATTGGATCTATGGATGTTGATGAATTGTATAAAGAGGTACAACTGTTATTCACACATAAACACATACACATATTCACATGTGTATGTGTGAAAATTCGTATGAAAATTAGTGAAGGGTGATGGCTTTCTAATCACTGTTACGTCCAAATTTATAACTTAAAAGTCACATCCCCCTTACTTTTATGAATTTCAGCTCAAACCAGTGTGATTTACCATAAACTCTGGAATCAGACAGAAATATGTTCATATTATGGCTTTTCTTACCTTTTGAGAGAGTTTTTGAAGTTCCTTATCATACTCAATATCAATTTTCATTTTTATCAATAAGAGAAAACAATATAACAGAGTTCTTCGGTTATTTAATAAGACATTGCTAAACCATAAGGAATATTGATTATTTAGTCTGGGTCAAGTTTGTAATCCATTGCTGCTAAAGGTTAAATCTGTGTAACTGTTGATTTTTCTAGAGAAAGAAAAGCATTTCCACAGAGGAAAAATAATGTAAGTAATTAGCGGTGATGAGTATTTTTCCTTTTTCTTTCTTTCTGTTCCTTGCTATGGATCCATAAATTTTTATTTTCCAGAAAGTAAATTTGTAGTGATTTCCCCTTGTGGAAAGTGGTAATTAGCATCCAAGATCTTGTTGACACAGTCTGTTCTCCTGAAGAAGGCTCTTAAAAAATCCTGCCAAGTGACAGAAATATTTAATTTATGTTGTTAAAGGAAGATCATTTCTTGATGTTAATATTTTCCAGTTACATATGTTTTATTCCTTTCTCATTGTGAAAAGTGATAGGTTTTATCTGTGGAGACAGAACTAAAGATTAGATCACCAATGATTTTGATTGTGTTCTTCTCCCAAGAGATAGGTTAACTTGATACATAACTCAGTGTTTCAAAATGACAATTTTATTAATCACAGAACTTGTTACAAGCAAACATCCTTTACTCTGTATTTGAGTATTTCCAGAGAGGAAAATAGTGCTGTGCAAGGTAAACTTAGCATCAACTATGTTGCTTAGAATTTATTTAAAGTTTTATGAATTTTTTTACTTCTGAATTAAAAATAAATTTATTTCCATAATTTATAAAATGTTTTTATAGATTTCAGTAGTAAAACCATTTGTTGATGGGAGATTCTTAATTATTGCTTCAGTCTTGTTGCTTGTTAGCTTCTGATTGGATTTACTGTATTCTCTTCATTTAATCATTAGGTTATATGTTTCCAGGAGTTCATCTATTTCTTTGAGGCTTTCCAATTTATTAGCACATAGTTGCCCATAGTACTTTCTTATGATTCTTTTTATTTCAGTGATATCAGTTGTAATGTTTTCTTTATTACCTTTAATTTTATTTATTTGCATTTTCCAATTTTTCTTGGTTATTCTAGCAGAAGATTTGTCTATTCTGTTTCTCTTCTCTAAAAAGACTTTTTATTTTGTTGAACTTTTGTATTTTTTGTGTTTTTTTTTCAATTTCACATACTTATACTCTGATCCTCATTATTTCTCACCTCCTGCTAATTTTAAGGTTTGTTTGTTCTTGAATTTCCACATCCTTGAGACGCATCATTAGATCATTTGTTTTCAAACTGTCTACTTTTTTAATGAAGCATTTAATGTTATAAACTTCTCTCTTAATATGCATTTGTTGTATCCTACAGGTTTTGATATATTGTATTTTCTTCTTTGTTTCAAGAAAAATTTTATTTTTTTAATTTCTTCAATGACACATTGGTTGTTCAGTAGCATGTTGTTTAATTTCCGTGTATTTAGTGTCAAACAGATTAAATAAATA